TCGATACTTCAACCTCTCAAGCTAACTACTAAACCCAACAAGGCAGTTTCCTTAGCCGGTGTCAGTGAAAGTTCTACGTCTGTTCTACATCACACCGATGGCGTTGTTGTAGCTGACCAATCAAGGACACAGAAATACGATAGTTGTCTTGAAGATCAACACAAATCGAAGACAGAACAAACGGACTATGATGAGCTGGATCTATCGGTCAGCCAGAACACATTGGATCAAAGTAAAGTTCTAAACCTTCCAGTCTACCACGCACAAAGTTCTGATCAAACCGATAGCTTCAATAATCGTATAGTTAGCTTCACAAATACAGACGCTTCAGAGAAAAACAATTTTTCAAATATTTTGAAAGAATTCTTTAACACAGCCGAATACAGTTTTAGCAGTAAAAAATCTCAGTTGTCTCCCATATTTACCGCAAACAAGAAACATATCTTTTTGTTAAAAAATAAACACAGGCCTTCTAATTATTATAAACGTGAAAATGACTCTAAAATCGTGTCAAATGATGCCAATACATTAGATAATAAATGTAAACAATTGACAAGGAACCGTTCGACTGAATGGAAACATTTGGTTGATGTAAACATCGAGTCTATGGCAGATCACAGATCAAGTTCCGGTAAAACTGTAGGAGCTGGTGAAACATTAACAACCTCTCACAGCGATAAGTGTGACTTAGTTATCAAGCAAAGGAAAGAAACGAATAAAGATAATTTACAAGCGGAAGATTTTTCGTTGAAAAGAATTACCCGATCACCGGTTGCTTGTGATTCAAAACATGATAAAAGAGTCACAAATGTTTCGTTGTTTGTTGACAAATATTCTTACTTCAGAGACATGGGAGAAGTTGGTGACTCGATATTTGGGCCGCAGTCAGGTTACTTAAGTCATATGACTTTACAAGAAACGAATCAGGGAGTTGAGATTGGCTTAAAAAATTCAGTTCAAGGGGCGGTTAGCAAAAGTCAAAAGTCTGCGAGAGCTGACAGTCAACAGCTAATGGCTAAGAGCAGTCAATCTATAATGGTTACTAGCGGCAATCAACATCCATTGGTGGTGGCTAGCGACAGTCAACAGCCTATGTCTACCAGCAGTCAGCAGCCTATGGCTAGCGGCAGTCAGCCGCCTATGGCTAGCGGCAGACAGCAGCCTATGGCTAACATCAGTCAGCAGCCTATGGCTAGAGGCAGTCAGCAGCCTGTGGCTAGCTGCAGCCAGCAGCCTATGTCTAGTGGCAGTCAACATCCATTGGTGGTGGCCAGCAGCAGTCAACATTCTGCGACTAGACGCTTTTGGTCTCTGAGTAACGAGAGCTTTAAAACACAAATAAAAAAGTCGGACGAGTTCACCCCTTTGAAAAAACACACAAACAGTAAAGTATTTAGCCTGCGTACCGGCAAGCGTTTGGCCATCAACGACGACACATGCGCAGATAAAACAGGAAGCAAACTATTCTCTACAAGAAAGATATTTGGACACAGCCCCACCAAAGGCAACATCCTGCTCACTGCCATCCAACACACGCCAGAAATGCAGATGTACCTCGTAGGGCTCAGTGAACCCAGGAGCCAGCCTGAACAAAGAAGTATTGGTAATGTAAGTCTAATATCTGACGATGGCACTCTCATAGATAAAATGACAAGCTACGAAGCTTCTGACAGTAAAATCAACTCAGCCGCCTCTTCCAGTTGGTCCTGGCTCTCAAACTTCATGTCCAAGCTACAAGTGGGAGGCCGAGAAAACGAAACTGGTCTTATGAATCCCCAAAACAGAAAAAGTTCTACTTCCGTTAAAGAAATTTCAAACGTCGCAAGAGATAGACCGCAAGTAAATACAGAACATGGACGCAATTCCCAAACGACAAAAGTTGAAATAAGTAGCAGACGTGCTAAAAGAACATTTCCTGTTGAGCAAGAGAGTTCTATTTTGGCAAGTTTGTCAGACAGTTATGACGTAACCACGGACTTCGATGCACCACACAACAAACGACGGTCAGCTCCTTACAACAACTCGCAGCTTCATGTACACGGCTCTAGTGGTAAGCCAACTCTTCAAAGACGAAAACTTCGACACAGAAGAAAGTTGAGAAGAAAGAGACGACAGAGGGTGCGAACAGAAAACCCTCAGATTGTCGGCGATTCTGTCAGCTCTTCTACAGACCAACTAAAGACAGATTTGAGCGGTTCTAAATGCCAGAACAGTTTTTTAACCAACGTCCTGGTGGCGTCTGTAGAAACCAATCAGGATCTCGTTAAGTCTGAAGGATTTCATCGCAAACTTAATGTGAAGAATGATGTTGTAGCATTGAAAAATGAACCTCTAGAGAAACAACTTTCGGACAGAGTAAACTCAAAAACAGTTAGTAAACGTACGCTGAACAGGAAGGTGAGTGAAGTAATTTTTCCTGGGATTGATATTGTCGATTTAAAAGTTACAATCAACAATAATATCAACAAAGATTTCAGCCACACAGCTTTGAAACCCAGAGGCCACGCGTTAGAATACGTGTCGTTTGCACGTGAAGGCGGAGATGTATCTGTTAAAGACTATGGGAACATCTGGAGACAGCCACTCACTAGCTACGAGAAGCCAAAGATCACCCTACTCAGTCAGACCTGGCCTATGGTTTTCCAGGCATCGACAGACATGCAAACACCTCCACAGCATATGGCACAAGCCCACACGTCGAGAACACCACATCATAAAACCCAAGCCTACATGTCAAAAACACCACAGCATATGACCCAAGCCCACACGTCAAAAACACCACAGCATATGACCCAAGCCCACACGTCAAAAACACCACAGCATATGACCCAAGCCCACACGTCAAAAACACCACAGCATATGACCCAAGCCCACACGTCAAAAACACCACAGCATATGACCCAAGCCCACACGTCAAAAACACCACAGCATATGACCCAAGCCCACACGTCAAAAACACCACAGCATATGACCCAAGCCCACGCGTCGAAAACATCACAGCATATGACCCAAGCCCACACGTCGAAAACACCACAGCATATGACCCAAGCCCACACGTCGAAAACATCACAGCATATGACCCAAGCCCACGCGTCGAAAACATCACAGCATATGACCCAAGCCTACATGTCAAAAACACCACAGCATATGACCCAAGCCCACACGTCAAAAACACCACAGCATATGACCCAAGCCCACACGTCTAAAACACCCCAGCATATGACCCAAGCCCACACGTCGAAAACACCACAGCATATGACCCAAGCCCACACGTCGAAAACACCACAGCATATGACCCAGGGTGATGCTTCAGACAGAAGAGAAAAATTTCTGTGTCCTACACAAGACAGCGCAAGTCCATCAACGGATATAGAGCAAGATGGCGTCGTTTCAAGCCAATCAGAGATGTTGTCCGACTCGTGCCCATCAGATAGCAACACATCAGATGCTCTCATGCAGTCATCGCTAGAGTGTTTGCTGGAGATGCTCCTACAGAGAGGTAAGCACCTTTTGAAGTTCTCGTTGAGTGGAGCTTTTTGTGAGCATTTTGTTAAGTGGTCTTAAATAGGCTGAAATTCTGACAAAACATATATATTCGACGTTTTGTTTTCAAACGATGTTCTGGACTAATGAAAAAGCTTTTCTGATTATTTATGTTTTTACTTAAAACATATTAAAGAGAAAATTATTGCGAACTGTATAAAGATATGTAAATAACAATGTGTAAATAAATTGAATATTTTAATGGTATAATTGTAGTTTTGATGTCCACGTCTAGCTCGTATTTAGAAGGAAAATATGACAATTTATATAATGTAAACAGTTCTATTATTACGACCTTTAATTACTCAAGGCACAGTTGAAGTAGAGCTCAGCTGTTTCAGTGACCTCGGCATACAATGGGATAGTGAGCTCAGCACTATGCCGAGCCGCCTTAGTTTCCCTACGTGAGCCTGGTACCCATCAAACGGAGTTTCTTCCAGGCATCTCTTCGGTGGAGGGCGGGCAAAGCCCCCCGAAAAAATTCTACCGCCCCCCCCCCCTCCCGAACGAAATGAAATTTAGATAATTTATATAGAAAATATATACTTTTAACAGTGTCCCCCCCCCCCCCCCCCCCCGAAAATTTCAAGTGCCCCCCCCCCCCCCCCCCCCACCGGAGAAAAAAGTCTGGAAGAAACACTGCCATCAAAGCAGGGTGGACTCGAATACGCGACCCGTGCCTTTAAAAGTTTCGCTGAAGCTGTTACATTCCCATTTCTTACGCAGGTAAAGTCAAACATGCATTCGTTGCATCCATGGAGGGCAATGTACTGGCGGCAACAGCAGGACTGGAGGTAACAGGACATGACGTCATGACTCTGGGATACACCCTCAAGTCTAATTATAGCGGTGTCGTGAAAATCACTCTTCTGGCGGCTGTTTACAATTGTTTTGTGCACGACAAAGGGTTGTCTTTAATAGGTAGGGCCGACAACTCTGTCTTTTCGGCTCGTAAGAGAAGCGAGATCATCGTTGTGGGATTCACAGATCCATCGACTCCAGGTTCATGCATCAAAGAGGTTCAAGAACTATCTGAGGTTCTGAGCCAACGAGGGTTATAAGATACACATATTGCTGAGAAGTATCTGTACAAGTACTGATGTCTGTGTATGGCGTGAACACCAGCAAGCAACAGTCGTGTAGCTGTGTGGTGGTTGTCACTAAACAACGCTTCTTTTCGCCAACTAGACCAACCATCACCATGTCTGCAAGAACACATTCGTTCATTGGGCGCATTCAATTTATCACACAAACGACTTGGGTAAAGCTAGGCTAGCAGTAGTAGTATGTACTGAAACTGAAACAACTTTTGAAATAGACGAGTGTTTTAACACAATTAAGAGAAGAAAAAGATTGTATAAGGCACCACTCATAAACTACATCACAGAACTGAAAACAAAATCCAAGTTTCTTTTTATAAACATTATATTTTTTAATTTTATGTATCTTTAATTTTTTTAAATACACATTTTTTTTTAGAATAAACTTTTAAATAAATTAAATATTTTTTTTTTGGTTTAAATCTTTATTAGTTATTGTGATCAGAATATCACAGTAAAAACGTCAACAAAATGTACCCTTAAAAGTATGACAAGGTTCATAAAAAATGCAAGACAGGCAATAGTATTTACTTTCATCAGAAGAAAAGTAAACTTTTAACAGACTCAAAACAAAAAACTGAACTTTTGTTAAATTTGATTGTCAACTACAAAAGAAGTCAATTCTTTTTAATCGGTCAATAAAATGGAAAAGTTTTTTTCCATGATGTTAGGAGGAAACTTCAACCCATGACCTCTCATATTTGCTTATGCAAAATCTTACCAACCAAAGCTAATAAAAGAACAACTAAAATGCTTGATGTGCTTATAATTATCAGATTAGCTAAGAACAATGACTTGAATGTACCAAACCTAATATTATCAACAAAAAGTTCTCAAACACAAAGCAATAAATAAAAACATTTTCCCATAACCTAATAAAAAAAAAAAATCTTAAGCTAAATTAGAACAACAATATTTAACAGCAGTAATAACAACATTACAGAATATTTACACAATTGTTTGAATAAGAAATTCAAATATCTTCACAATCACTGCACAATTGCCCAAGTCATTTAATAAATGTGAGTAAACTGGGAATAAAAATGAGAAAATGAAAAAAAAAATATTAACCCAAGCCCTAAAAAAAATGACATGGACGATTGTGAACTGACCGTAAAGATATTTATATCACAGATCCTACGGTCAAGGAATGTACCCATGTACAGGTAGCTGACATTTTAAATAATAATTTATTATAATTTAAATTTGGAAAACACTTAAAAGTCAAATAGGAGAAAAAAAAATGTACAACTCAATTATTAATATAAATAAAAGCATAAATAGGTAGCAGCTTGCTACTAATCATATCAATTTATGCAGGTCAACTAGTTATTAACAAAGTCTATTTTGTTAAATAATAAATAGGTCTAGCCAATAATTTATTATAATTTAACTTTGGAAAACACTTAAAAGTAAAATACAACTGATCAGTATTATTTAGCAAACCAATCTAATTCTTTTTAGCAGTACTTTTATTTATTTTCAAAAAGTTAGTTCTATGAGCAGTATGTTCATAGAGTTAAAAAGTCAGCTAAATTATCATACATAAATGCACTCCACACACACCCCCTCCCACAGTTTAACTCTTAAACCAGCAACTTGAACAGAACAAGGTAAAGAAAGTAAAAATCAATTTAAAATTCCATGGCAGTGAGGTTAAACAAGGCTATAAATATTTTTTCATCGCATACCAATGTTGTGTGTTAAACAAGTTTGGTTCAAACCTTTAGACTTTTGTCTAGGACATACATACACCACATAGGAATAAATTTATACACGTTGTTTTATCAAAATAAATTTTCATAAGAGGTTTAGCTTAAGATCTTTCAGACCAGCCGATAAGTTTTAACAATGAAAAAACCCAATACAGAATCTGTTTTTAGATATGGGAATGATAGTCATGTTTTTAAAATCATATCAAATAACACTGCATTGCAAAAATTGTATAAAATGACTTTTAGGAGAAAAAAATGTACAACTCAATTCTTCATATAAACAAAAGCATAAATAGGTAGCAGCTTTCTACTAATCATATCAATTTATGCAGGTCAACTGGTTACTAACAGTCTATTTTGTTAAATAATAATTTAATTGCAGGACTAGCCAAACTCAGTCTTTTCATCATTTTTTTTAAAAGAACTATGTTTTCAAGGCTTTTATAGAACTAAAGATTTAAAATCCGATTGATTTATTAGTTCCAATAATATTGAAAAGAGTTGTCTTATGTATTTTTTTTATTTTTTATGAATGACAGCGGGCATTCCATTGTTTCATATTATTCTTATACAGAAGTTCCTTCAGTTAAAATGGATTCAAGCACCTGTCATGTTTAAAATATTTAGCTTACATATGTGATATAGTGTCAGGCACTTGTGGTTAAGCGAAAAGTTTCCATTTGAAAAAGTGTGCAAAAGTTTTCTAACAATTTTCATCTGCTTAGTTCTGGAAAAAATAATTTGCAAAAATTCAAAGACCAATTTTTTCATGCATAAATTAATCAAATTAACAGCTTTATTGTTCTGTAAAACTGATTAATGTCCTCGTATTGCACTTTCCCGTTAAACAACTACAATAGTAAGTTATAATTTTCTTGACTGTCTAAATTTAAATGCAGTTTATTTAACTAGAAAAAAAAAATAACAGCTACTCTTTGTTAGAATGAAGAATAACATAACCAAAGCTCAAACTTTAGGAATCCATTTCCAAAATACACAAAATGTGTAAGCACCATGTAAAGACAGATCATTTATATTTAACTAGTTTGATTAATGATTTTAGTATTGTAAACTTGAGTAGTTGAAACAATAACAAAATAGAACAGTGTCTTCCTAATTTTTGATTAATGATCTATTTGTTAGTATATTTTAGCTTTTTTTTTTTTGATTTAATAGCATCTTGCAGCATGAAAAAAACCCATTAAGAACTAAATTAATACAAGAAATTTAAACATGGATTTTATTCACTCTGGTTGGCAACTCAACAGCACTAACAGTCAAAGGCCACATCCCACCTAAAATCCCTGCCTGTATACTAACTCCAGACACCACGGCCAACTCAGGGTCTATAGAAGTATTTGGTGTCTTATTCATGTGTTGTTTGACCATTTCAATTATCCGAGGAATGCGTGTCGAGCCACCAACTAGAACTATTTCATCCACCTCATCTCTATTCAGCTCAGTGATTTCCAGCACTTTGTTGATTGGCTGCAGAACTTTATCAAAAAGGTCAGAGTTCAGCTTTTCAAATAGTTCCCTTGTGACTGTTTCTAAAAATAGTTTATCCCCAAATGAATGGAGATGCAATGATACAACTGCAGTATTGTGATAAGTGAGATTCAACTTCACCTCCTCGACCTTTAACCTCAGAGCCTGGATGTCCTCTTTATCTTCAAGATTCTGATGAAAGCGAGAGGCTATGGTATTCACAAGGTAGTCTAACAGACGCTGGTTAAAATCCTGTCCACCCAGATGATTGTTACCTAAACAAAGAAAAGAAAATAAGATAAAAATTTTAAACAATAACATTTTCATGCATTTTAAATCTTATACATTCTAACCGCATTAATTTATAAAATTAGAAATATTTTCTATCAACCATATATAACATCCACTCCCCCCAGCCTGTACATACCTGCCATAGCCTGTGTGAGAAACATTCCTCCTTGTACATTTAATAATGACACATCCAGGGTGCCTCCACCTAAATCAATAACTAATACATTGTGTAGGTTTGATTTCTTGTGTAACCCATAGGCTAGTGCTGCTGCTGTTGGTTCGTTGATAACACGTAAAACATCAAGTCCTATGGTTGATTTTAAAAAGATAAAATTATTTAAAGTTAAAAAACCAATCAATACTGAAATTACATATTTAATTTAATTCTTGTTAATGGTTGTGATTAATTAACACATTGTTTAAATCTAAATGTCAAAAGTGTTATGCTTATTAGTTATATTCAATAAAAATTAACATTTATGGTGATATTAAAACATCACTTCAATATTCCTGATGTTTGTGATTTGAACAAATATGAAAAACATTTTACCTGCAAGAGATCCAGCTCTAATGGTAAAATTTCTCTGTAAATCATCAAACTCAGCAGGGACTGACATGACCACTTTTGTTACCAGGGTTGAAAGATTCTTCTCAGCAGCGTGCTTCAGTTCAAGTATTATCTGGGCACCAACTTCTTCAGGCGATATCAACCTTTCTGTTCCATTCACGACAACCGAAAAGCTAACCATACCTTGTGAATCTGCTTTAAGCTAAAATAAAGTCAGAACTTTTGAAAACATTTTTAAAAAGTTAAGTTACTTGCTTTTAATACAAAATAAAACACTGATGTTTTTTATTCAAACAAAAATATTTTGAAATAATTATTTTTACAGGTACTATTTAGCTATGAGTGTAATTAATTATTAAAGGCACTTAGTATAACAATACATGTAGTTTGTGCATGTAGGATTACCTTGAATGGATACTGTCTCTGGGCTTCACTCAATTCTTGACTAGTAAATTTTTTCCCAATGAATCTTTTAGCATCATATAATGTATTATAAGGATTATGCTCACTTTGAGCTACAGCTTTATATCCAACTAAGATTTCATTATCTCTGAAATTTAGTAAACAATTGAACTTTTAGAGTACTAAAAATATTTATGCTTAAAATTACTAAAAAAAGCATCATAAAGAAAAGTTACTTGTTTTTAAAGTATAAAATGACTTACAAAATTGCCACAACACTGGGTATACATTTGTGTTCTCCTTGAGTTTTGAGAATTGATACTTGGCCAGTAACTGCATGGTACATCCCGACACATGAGAATGTGGTACCTTTAGGAAAGGTGTTCATTAACAGTATATCTCAGTAAAAGTACATTTTTATATTTGCATTTTTAGGTAAACAAAATTTGCTGAACTGTGGCATAGCATGAGAAAACAAAAGGAAAGAGAGAACAACTTACCTAAGTCTATTCCAACAATTTTAGGTTTGGGAGGGGGCAAGTAATTTTGAGCAAAATACCCTGCCAATAACACAGCTAATACAGCAGTACCTTTTGAAGAAACACACAGATAACATCAATCATACTTACACTTATAACACAAAATTATTGAGTTTAAACTTTAAATAAATAGCTTTATGGAGGAATGTTCTAGAAGTTAGAACCAAGTGCAATGTGTCTGATAGATATTGGTGTTGTAGGAATAGCTGATAATTATGGCACCTGGTATTGTGAGAATAAAATCCCTTTTTGAAATATCGGCAACAGTCAACAATACAGTGTTTTTATGCCAATTATATAGGCTAGGCCTATCTGATACAATTAAAAATGAAGAGCATGCACATAGCTCTACAATTACCTGGTTTTTCTTGTCATCTACATATTCGCTGTTTATGCCTATGTTTTATCTTAATGTGACAGGGATTAACACGTTACTTAAAATAGATTTTAAAAAATAATTTTTATACTTAACTCTTTGCTAGCTATACTATATACTATAAACCCCTGATGACACACCCACAGAGCAACTACTCTACCACATAGTAAAGATAGTTTTGTCAGAAGAATAAAGCTAAAGTCACTAAAAGAGTAATTGATCCTATTGCTCAGCTATTAGAGAATCCATTGTACAGTTATTAATAGTAATTATTTTGAGCTCATTGCACAGATATTTAGGTGATAGCATTTTGCCTGCCAGATTGCGCTTGTGGGAAAAATTGTTTTTGGAGTAGTCACTTCAATTTATAATTTGGCCGCATTTGCGCGGTTCGCACTCCGCTAAATCTTTACCATAGGTGGCACGCTATCTAAAAACATAGATATCAGGACTGCCCAAATTTTTTTTTTTTATGTTAGCAATTTAATGTTGACATAGATCTATTTTAAGTGTATTATTTCAACACCTCAGAATCTAGATCTAATCTGGTACTTGTAAAAAAAAAAATGTACAGTGTCAGTAGTTTTTCAGATGATAGTCCTAGATCTAGCCGCAATCTAGCTAAATCAAACTACCCTTTAGTAAATTGTTTTTGCAGCTATCTAGCATGCGTGGTAGTAAATCTATGTCTATATTATTAATCCTATACCTACGAACTTAAACATTTTTTAATTTGCTTGAGGGGGGTGGAAGAGAGAAGTGAAGACACAGACGATCTCGTGAACTTGTGTTCATTCTATGACGTATGCTTTAGGCCTGCTGAGCTCACAGTGACCCTGCCGACGGTGGGATTGTTCACTCACAGGATAGTAAACATAAGCAAGCAATCACGCCAGTGACGATGTTTGGAAATTTTATTAAAAAAAAGAATGTCACGTTTTCAATATGAAAAAAATAAAATGTAAAAGACACTAGTATGGGTCGTGCTAACCCCGGCACCCAGGTTCGAATTTGAACCTCCAGGTATATGAACTAATCTTCTACATCTGGCACACTGTTGACCCTACCACACTGCATGTGTTGTAGAAAGGAAAAAGTAAGCATTTTCAATCACAAGGTGGCAAATCCAACCTGGGATACGCGTTGTCACTTCATTACGGGCCACACTCTGCGAGATGCGTAGTTACTTACTAGTAATTAAATTACTGTGTTATATTTTAGTGTCTAGCTAGATGACAAGATGTACATACTAATTACTATAGTACATAGATCTAGTACATAGCCTAATAATAAACAATAGGGACTTTCTTCTGATATTAACAATAAGGTGAATTTGAAAAATCAGACAAATGTCTCAGTCTCTCGTAACTCCCAACTGTGAACTAAAATAGTAAAGAGTCAGACACACCAGACAAGGTGAGCAGCTGGACATTACAAAGTGAAAATAATAAAAATTATTAAAAGTTTAGCTTCGTCGCGTTTTAATATTAAAATTAGAACTAAATCTAGACTAGATCTCGTAAGATTGTTAATTGAAAATGTTTATTACCTAGAATAATAAATGTAGAACTCATAGCTTCAAAATAACGTTGAACACAGGTTGTTGAGCTTTTATAAATTTAAGTTATTAAGCCTATCTAATCGTTGACGTGTTTCTAACCAACTTCCTCAAAGGGGGAGTACTTTAAGGAAAAAAAAAGATACTTACCACCCTTTGAACTTTGTTTATGTTTTTCAGAGCAACGCAATCGGAATAATACAAATAATATTAAATTTAGATCTAGATCTAGATCTAGAACCAGATATTGTTAAGTTAAATAATAAAAAGTAGGCCTATAGGTAGAATTCAAGTGAATAATAATAATAGTGTTTTTGAGAAATGATGTTGTCTACTCTCTACTAAACTCTACTTTATGATCATGAGACTGACATGGGTAATCTATCGTTTTGGGTACGTAAAATCGCCCGCGGCTATTAATGTACGAAAACGTTACCTCATTGTAAAGGCTGTAATAGAAGTATATTGTGATATGTTTGTGTCAAATATTATAGATAAATGAATAATAAACCTAAATCAATGGCTAAATATATCAATATAGGCCCGAAATTAACTTTAAACAGCAGTGTCTGCAAGCAAGATTTGCTATATAAACAGCAGCCATTTGTAAAATAGAGTGACTTCCGCCTGAATCTTGCGCTATAAGTCTATAAAAATAAAACTTTAACAAGATGGCTGCTATAGTAAATGAGCATGGTTGCATCTGTTGGAAACATCGCTGGTGTTCATTTATTACGGAAAAGTTTTAATTCAATTGTTTAGAAACAGGTACATAAATGAAACAAGTAAACATTTTTGTATTTTTCAAAACATAAATCCTCCTCAAAATGTGAAATAATTATTAAAATGTAAGGAGTCACCTGTTTTTCACATTACTAGTCGCGGGCGATTTTACGTACCTAAAACGATAGATTACCCTGACATGAGACTACTCAACTTACAACAATATTCATATTGACAATAACATTTTAAATTTAAAATTAGGCTACTAAACAAAAATTTAGTCAATTACAGTACACCAGTCTGAGTTAGTGTGATGGACTGTGAAGTGTGTTATCTCTAACTAATCTTTCTAAATTCTTTCTACTTCACAATTGACCACTAACTAATGCAAAGTCCAGATTAAAATGTTGGCAAGAATATGCTAGATTTAACTTTAAAATAATATTAATTGTTTGGGGTTAGGTTTGCATTACTGTTATAGTATTGCCATTAGCAATGGATCTAACAGCTTTATGAAATGTGTCTTTTTAGAAATAATAAAAAAAATTTTTTTTTGTTTTAATAAGGAACAACAGATGTTTGGTAACTTTTATAGCTTCGAGAAATGCATGGATTTGCTTCATTACCAATCTTCAAAGTCTCGTTAAGATGTCCTTATAAGAGACATTTTCTCAGATATTTACAAAGACATAGATATTTCACAACCTCTTCTAAATCTAAATCAAGAAAATACATATTTAGATTTGGTAAGTAATTATCTTATTTGTTTTTTTTTTGGTATTTGAATATAAATTTACAAAGTAGTTTTTTTTTTTTAAATACACCTCTTTATCTTTGAAAAGTTCATTACATCTATTTTTCTTTATCTTTCATTATTACAATTTATGGTAAAAATTAATAAAACAATCTTTGAATTATATTTTTAAGGCCTGTAAACACATTTCTATGAACATTTTTTTTAAATTTGGGAAATAAATGCTTTTTGAAAATGTCAAAGTAAATAGTACTATCTAGGTTTACTAGTTAATAAAATTTTAATTTTAAACAAACTTCACATCAACAACCAGATCTAATTCGTTTCTTGTATTTCCAATTCATTAGGATTTATTACTCTAACAGCAGCAGGTAGCAGGTAAGCTTTTAGTTGTATTTTGTTCTGTATAAACAATTTAAAAATTCTGTATCTGTTGTAAAAATAGGAGATTTTCAACGATGTATATTTTAAACTAACGTTAAAAGGAAACATAAAACACACTCTTTGACCCTATCCTTAACTTAGGAGTTGGGGGGTGGGGGTGAAGGAAACATCCCATACATGTGAATCACAAATTTTACAATGTGCAAAAGAAAAAAAAAGAAGAAAAAACAAACCGTCTTCTGATTAAAATAAAAGTGTTATTTAAAATTTAAGTCACACACCTTTGGAGGTCTTGACTTGAATGAATAAAATCACCTCCAACTTCAAATGAGTAATAGGGAGGTTTTTTTCTTATATCAATTTTACTTCAGCAGAGAGGAAAGTTTATGTTTCCTGGCATTCTATGTTGCTTCTAGCACTGACTTTAGGGACATCATCATCTTCTGATGCTGTGATATATGTGGTTACAATTTTAGCAACTATTACTAGCTTCAATTGCACTGAAACATTCAAACTATTTGTTGACTAGTGGCTTTTTTCTTGGTCCAATCATTCTCAATTTTAATCCAAATAAATGAATAGCACTATGCTTATGTAATTTTATTTGTTTCAGTTTTTAAGAAATCTAATTAATTAGCTGCTTCAAAAAACCAGTAGTAAAACCAACCAGTTTTCACTAATTTTTTCAGCTGTATTGTCTAATATAATGTTTTTAAAAATGTCTCCAGTTTAGCTGTTTTTATTTCATCAACAAAACCCAGTGCACCACCTAAAGAGAAGGAACTTGTTGTGCCACATGAAGCAGAGATTTTAGTCAAACAAGTTGCAGCTGTTGACCAGGATTTGTTCTGTGTGGGAATTGACACTGACTGGCAGTTGTACTGTTCATCACCTTATACTACTGGTATGGGAATTTATATAGTTTTTATATTGCTGAAACTTTCGTCTAATAGTTAAATCATAATAAAGTAAAGTTAAATTAGTTTTTTTAAACGAAGAAATCCAAGATAATTAAATTTTTTTTTTATCAAAATTTAAAGATTCTCAAAATTACTTTGAAAATATCTTTGTCCACAGATTTTGGCAGTAGACTACAAATAATTTTATTTAACTTGATTCATTTTAATGTAACAAGACTCTGGGGTAAGTTTTTTCATTTTCTTGTTTGAAATTTAAACTAATCATATTTATTTTTCTATGTATTTAAAATGTTTTAAAAAAAGTTAATTTAAAATCAATTACTTTTCTATTTTTAGACTGGCTATTTCCCTGGGAGCAGTCAAAAAGTGATGACCCCTGGGCTCTTCTAGAACTGACGAGGTCAAGTAATTTCTGGATTCGACAGATGGGCGTGGCATCTTTGGCTAACCAAACATCATGGCCACGTCAGTCTTTTTTATTTTTGTTGTTTTTTCTTCACATCACATAGGATCCACATATTTAAAAAAAATTTAATTAATTGTTAAGATTTAATGAATGAAATAAAACTGACCAAAAATACTAAATTATTTCCACATCATTAACAACTATCATGTACTTCTTGTTATAATAATGTCTGAAATTTTAAAAATGTCTAATATTTTTTTCTCATAAATATATTGTATATTTAGTTACTAGACCACAAGTACAAGATTGTTTTATAAATGTATTGTACATTTTGTTAACTAGACTACATTATGAAGTTGTGAACCATAGTTTTTATAAATGTATTGTACATTTTGTTAACTAGACTACATTATGAAGTTGTGAACCATAGTTTTTATAAATGTATTGTACATTTTGTTAACTAGACTACATTATGAAGTTGTGAACCATAGTTTTTATAAATGTATTGTGCATTTTGTTAACTAGACTACATTATGATGTTGTAACCCATTGCTTTTATAAATCTATTATACATCTCGTTAACTAGACTACATTATGAAGTTGTGAACCATAGCTTTTATAAATGTGCTGTACATCTCCTTAACTAGACTACATGCGTGAAGTTGTGAACCACAGCTTTTATAAATGTGCTCTACATCTCGTTAACTAGACTACATTTTGAAGTTGTGAACCACAGCTTTTATAAATGTGCTGTACATCTCGTTAACTAGACTACAAGTACAGAATAGTGGCCCAGACCTGTGACCCACGCACTCTTGTAGCACTGGCCAGATACCCTCATGCCAACAATGCCTTTTTTCTTCCACAACCAAAAGTCATCACTTCCAAGGTAAGAAATTGATCAGTATGAAAGATTGCTAGCAATACATTCTTAAATTGCTAATTTATTTTGATAGCTGATTATTTGTTTTGATGAAATGTCAGTTGAACTCAACTTAAAGAAGGTATCCAGATAGGCAGAAATTTATGTCTGTTCCTTATGGGCAAAAGCCTGCCGACTCCAATACTTAATAACATTGGACACAATTTCCTCTGATATTATAATTAGGAACAAAGAAGATTGTTTTGATGTTTGATATTTGTTTCAGAATGACATAGTTACAAATTTGTTTTGATAATTTGATATTTGTTTCAGAATGACATAGTTGCAAATTTGTTTTGATAATTTGATATTTGTTTCAGAATGACATAGTTACAGATTTGTTTTGATAATTTGATATTTGTTTCAGAATGACATAGTTACAGATTTGAAAAATCAAGTGCTAAAACTACCAGTTCCCCCATTAGCCAGCTCCTGTGTTATGTACTACAGACATCTAGCATTGGATCAGGAGATCTGTATGGTAACTGTAACATCTGAATGTTGTCTCTGTATGGTAACATATGATCTTTGTTTGGTAACAGTAACATCAGATATTGTCTTTGTATGGTAACATACAACCATTGTCTGTATGGTAACAGTAACATCAGAATGTTGTCTTTGTGGAGCATGTGAATGTGGTCTGATAACATGGAACTTTTGTATGGTAACATGGGACCTTTGTATGGTAACATTCGACCTTTGTATGGTACCACTGGACCTTAGTATGGTACCACTGGACCTTTGTATTGTAGCACTGGACCTTTGTATTGTAGCACTGGACCTTTGTATTGTAGCACTGGACCTTTGTATTGTAGCACTGGACCTTTGTATTGTAGCACTGGACCTTTGTATTGTAGCACTGGACCTTTATGGTAACATGAAATTTCTAATGTATGGCTATGTTAAGCTTTGTATATGTTTCCAATGTTTTTCTCCCAAGAACGACTCCTTGGGCTTTGACAACCTGACACAGTCGTACAGCTTCCCTGAAGATGAGGACAAAAAGAAAGAAAAGGAAATCAGGAACTGTCTAGATGCTATTTCTTCCTACACATCCGTGAGAATTTATTATTTTTTTTTACTTCCAACATTATTATTGTGACTAAATAATATTTAAAAAATATGACCTAACAAAGCCTTGTCATTTAATTAAACTTTAGATTCCAGTTGACTTAACAAAGCCTCATCATCTAATTAAACTTTAGATTCCAGTTGACTTAACAAAACCTTGTCATCTAATTAAACTTTAGATTCCAGTTGACTTAACAAAACCTTGTCATCTAATTAAACTTTAGATTCCAGTTGACTTAAAAGTCTTGTCATCTAATGAAACTTTAGATTCCAGTTGACTTAAAAGTCGTGTCATCTAATGAAACTTTAGATTCCAGTTGACTTAACAAAACCTTGTCATCTAATCTAACTTTAGATTCCAGTTGACTTAACAAAACCTTGTCATCTAATTAAACTTTAGATTCCAGTTGACTTAACAAAACCTTGTCATCTAATTAAACTTTAGATTCCAGTTGACTTAAAAGTCTTGTCATCTAATGAAACTTTAGATTCCAGTTGACTTAACAAAACCTTGTCATCTAATCTAACTTTAGATTCCAGTTGACTTAACAAAACCTTGAAATCTAATTAAACTTTAGATTCCAGTTGACTTAAAAGTCTTGTCATCTAATGAAACTTTAGATTCCAGTTGACTTAACAAAACCTTGTCATCTAATCTAACTTTAGATTCCAGTTGACTTAACAAACCTCGTCATCTAATGAAACTTTAGATTCCAGTTGACCAAACAAAACCTCGTCATCTAATGATACTTTAGATTCCAGTTGACCAAACAAAACCTCGTCATCTAATGATACTTTAGATTCCAGTTGACCTAACAAAACCTCGTCATCTAATGAAACCTTAGATTCCAGACTTTGGGTCCCAATTTGTCAGCAACCATGGCCTGGCAGTGCTCCAGCAGCTGTGTGAGAAGTTCCCTGAGACCTGGGTCCAGATCTACGTGGCCACCATCTTGACCAACCTCTCCCAGACTTCGGAACATTTGGATCTTCTGGCTCGCACTGGTTGGACATGTCTCACATTTTACAAAAACCTATCGCTCAAATATGATGGTTAACTGCATCTAAGCTTTTAATTTTGTGTTTACTTTATTTTAAAGTCTGAACAAGGAAGTTTTGTTTTGTAAGAAAGCTAGTTTTCATTTTTTGTACAATCTTTTTTTTTAATTACCAAAAGTAAAAAGTAAGTTTGAGACCATTTTTAGTAATTTTGACACATGATATACAATTTATTGAATTAGACTTTACAATAATGTTTCTATTAGTTTATTTATTTAATAAAGACTAAAATAATGTTATTCATGAAATTTATTTATCCATTTAATGAAGGTTAAAATATTTTAAATGAAATAAGCTTATCCATTTAACGAAGGCTAAAATAATGTTTTAAATGGCCTTTGTTTACCCCTTTAAGGTTGGATCACAGTGCTGCGTGGGTGGACAAAGAGCAACAATGCTACCTTGTCCATGCAAGCTCTGACTACTTTAGCAAACCTAGACAGGGAGTGGCTCTCTAAGGACATCTATCAGGACATTGTCCTTCTACACCCAGCATATAGGAACAGGTAGCTTGTCACTACAGCTTTGGAAATCAGATAACTTTATCCCATTATAGTAACTTTGAAAGTATAGTTTCAGTTCATGTATGTCTTTTACGTATACGCTGATGTTGTATTGGTCCCTGAATGTGTTTTAGCCAGCCTGTATACGCTAATGTTGTATTGGTCCATGTATATATTTTAGCCAGCCTGTGTACGCTGATGTTGTATTGTATATATTTTAGCCAGCCTGTGTACGCTGATGTTGTATTGGTCCATGTATATATTTTAGCCAGCCTGTACGCTGATGTTGTATTGGTCCCTGAATGTGTTTTAGCCAGCCTGTATACACTGATGTTGTATTGGTCCATGTATATATTTTAGCCAGCCTGTATACGCTGATGTTGTATTGGTCCATGTATATATTTTAGCCAGCCTGTGTACGCTGATGTTGTATTGAATATATTTTAGCCAGCCTGTGTACGCTGATATTGTATTGGTCCATGTATATATTTTAGCCAGCCTGTGTACGCTGATGTTGTATTGTATATATTTTAGCCAGCCTGTGTACGCTGATGTTGTATTGGTCCATGTATATATTTTAGCCAGCCTGTACGCTGATGTTGTATTGGTCCCTGAATGTGTTTTAGCCAGCCTGTATACACTGATGTTGTATTGGTCCATGTATATATTTTAGCCAGCCTGTATACGCTGATGTTGTATTGGTCCATGTATATATTTTAGCCAGCCTGTGTACGCTGATGTTGTATTGAATATATTTTAGCCAGCCTGTGTACGCTGATATTGTATTGTTCCATGTATATATTTTAGCCAGCCTGTGTACGCTGATGTTGTATTGTATATATATTAGCCAGCCTGTATACACTGATGTTGTATTGGTCCATGTATATATTTTAGCCAGCCTGTGTACGCTGATGTTGTATTGTATATATATTAGCCAGCCTGTATACACTGATGTTGTATTGGTCCATGTATATATTTTAGCCAGCCTGTATACGCTGATGTTGTATTGGTCCTTGTATATATTTTAGCCAGCCTGTGTACGCTGATGTTGTATTGGTCCTTGTATATATTTTAGCCAGCCTGTATACGCTGATGTTGTATTGGTCCATGGCTTGCGGGGTGGGGCTGTGAAGACCTGGAGACAGAGAGATCAGCCTAACGAACCTGTCAATCCATTTGTCTCTAAATGTTGGCCCAGGGTTAGTTTTTTTTATGTTGTAAACTCTCAGCCTAAATACATTGTGTAACCTTATGTATAAATACTTACATTGTGTAAACTTTAAAAAAACCTACATTGTTTTGCTCAGTAAAGACAAATCTTTATCTATTATTTTCTCTTTCAATTTATTGTATTTTGTTATGCCTCTCTACACATAAACTTGGGAGGTTAAGGATGATAAAATAGTAATGTCATTTTTTAAAGGACTGGTTGGCGTCAGATTGTCCCAATGTTCGAATCATCAGCATTGGCTACAACTCCACCCTACACTTATGGGGGGACCACTGTCCTTATGAACAAGAAAAGTAAATTTTTTCTTTTACTTAATCCACTGTTTGTTGCAACTTAACAGATCATTAATTGATCAGCATAAAAATTAAGAAAGTAACTCATTAAAAATTAATATTCTTACTCAAAATTTGAATTTGTAGTAAGTTCTAAAATCGCTCTAATCCTAGAAGAACCATTGAAGGACGAAGCAGGGAGATAATCCAAAAACTCCTTCAAGCTGGTGTTGGGTCAAGGCCCATAATCTGGGTAGGACATTCCATGGGAGGTTAGTTACATCCCTTGTTCTTTCATTTTTAATAATAAATTTGAAAATGTTAGTCTTATTGCTTGTAAAGTCTAATTTAAATAATAATTAACTCTTACTTTTATATTGGAATAGGTTAGTTTTCTTGAAGTTGATGATGCACAAACCTAGTAAAAATAAGAAAAAAATATTCAGTTCATGTCCTCTCAGGTCTTCTCATCAAGAAAATAATTTCTCTGGGAGAACACGAGACAGAATTCTCCAAATTTTCCACTCAGACTAAGGGGGTTGTGTTTTATAGCGTGCCACATCGCGGCTCCTCTATAGTGGACACCATGATGTACGCCAAGTATCTGTTGTTCCCATCTGTAGAGGTCCAGGAGTTACATACTAGTGAGCATATATTACCATCTAGTAACATATACATGAATTATGTACAAGGTTAACTACTAATTATAGACATATAGATGAGTAACATACAGAAAGTCCCAGACATATAACTACCATGGGGACAGCGTGGCTGGAGGGTAGCGCGTGCAACTGCTCCATTTTGGATCCTGAGTTCATTGGACATCCCTGTGTACACTCAGCTCTAATGGGTACCTGACTCACTCTAGGAAAAGTAAAGATGGCTGGACTTAGTGATTATCACACAATTCCTTCACATGCCACAGAAACAGCTGAATTCTTTTTCATCGGTCCTATTGATAGCCAGGTTCAAAAGGCTAACTTTTTTTTACTTTATATTATTACCAGCTAGGGACATATATAGATTACAGTAAATCCTAGATATGAAGCACCATCTACAATGAGTAATAAATAGATGAACTATTTACAGTGTACCTACATAATCATTTATGGTTATATTTTTTATAGACCTACACTGTATATTTAGATATGCTATTATTTTTAAACATATAAAGCTACATTTAAAAAAAAAAAAACTTTAATTTTGTTGGCCTACACTCTGCATTTATCAAACTGAATATTGGTACAATTTTTTGAATTGTTGGTATAAAACTTTAACTTATGACACACTATTAAAGAAAATAAAGTTATTGAAGTTATTAATGATATTCACCATACTAAATTCATACTTTTAATTAGGACTATATTATCAAAAAAATTAAGGACTATTAAATTTTAATCTGTTAACTGTTGTAACTCTACAGATTCTCCTGCCTTAATCCAGTTACACACAGAGTTTGTAAATTTTGTCACCAAAAACTCCATTTCTTGTCTAAGCTTTGGGGAGAATGCAAAAACACCTTTTGGTCGTCCCCTACCAAAAATGTTAGTCGTGTCATCTAACTCTAGTGGTAAGCTTTGTTTTATATTAGTCGTATAATCTAACTCTAGTGGTAAGTTTTGTTTTATATTAGTCATATTATCTAACTATAATGATAAGTTTTTTTTTTTTTATTTTTATAGTAGTTGTACCATCTAATTCTAATGGTACATTTTAGGTTCTTTGTATACTTTAAAACTAAAGTAAAATATTGAAAATAAAATGTTTTGGGCTCTATGAAAACAGAAGCAAGGCTAAACAGAATTTTATTGTGTAGATTTTTCATGTTTAAATAAGATGACCATGGCTTGGTTTAGGTTAGGATTAGGGAAAGCATTAAGTATTAATAAGAATTTTCCCTCAAAACTTAACCAAGCTCCCTTTCAGACTGGATAGTCCACAGAATAGATGAAGTAGAATTCATCTCTTTGTTTGACCTAGCACAATTTGACCCCTGTGTATACAAAAAATGTGTGGTCAGCAATACACCCAGGTACCTTTACTTTCCCTGACCTACATTAGAACTGGTTGGTCTTAAGAAAAACCTAAAGACTAAAGTCTTGGATCAAACTGAAAAAGTTTCATGTTAGCAATAGAGTAAAGCGTTTCTGTTTGTGGTTCAAAGTTCAAAATTTTGTTTTCAGATCCTGGAGTTGGCCAGTTTATTAGTGTACCTGACAATCACATTGACATCTGTAAACCTTGTTGTGAAACTGATGTCATTTACCAGATGACATATAAATTTGTAAATGACATATTAAATACAGTGAGATAGTACTTGCTGTTGAGATTAGGTGTTCAGGTATTTCATTGTATTAAAATAGTTGATTAATTGTTTTATTGACAGCAGGAGAAAGTAATTAGATGTCAGACACAGGAATTATTTCAATAATTAGAGATTTTATTGACATGACCTTTCAGTCATCATTTATGAACTTTGACCTTTCAGTGTATCATTGACATGTCAGTGTATCATATTTACTATTTATCTGTGTCGCAAATGGAAACAGTGCATATTATTGACCTAGTTGTATCATATGGACCTGTTTGTATCATATTGACCTGCTTTTTGTATCATATTCCTATAGAATACATTGAAATATTTTATCTTGGTGCCTTTCTAATTGCCTTACAGCAGTATAACCATTGTATAATAATTGTTTTAAACTAAAAGTTTCTATTTTGAAAACCTATAACCTTACCAGAGAAATATCACTTGACCTGGATGAGTAATTGACACTTGTAAATTGTCAGTCGTGCAATATTTGAGTCACAATCTGCCATAGTTTATAGACTACACACATTTTAAACATGTCATTTATGGAGCCACAGCACAGAAGGATACTTTGATTTTTTTGACTACACATGTTATGGTAGCCTAAGTTTATCTGCCATTGTCCTAGTTTCTCTAAGTCTCCAGCTACACATGTTATGGTAGCCTAAGGTTATCAGCCATTGTCCTACTTTCTCTAAGTCTCCTGCTACACATGTATGGTAGCCTAAGTTTATCAGCCATTGTCCTACTTTCTCTAAGTCTCCTGCTACACATTCTTGTCACCTGAAGGGAGAAATGAACACACTAACCTTAACACAGCTAAACACAACACCACAGCTAAACACAACACCACAGCTAAACACAACACCACAGCTAAACACAACACCACAGCTAAACACAACACCACAGCTAAACACAACACCACAGCTAAACACAACACCACAGCTAAACACAACACCACAGCTAAACACAACACCACAGCTAAACACAACACCACAGCTAAACACAACACCACAGCTAACTTCAACTGCATAGCTAACCGCAGCAAAGCAAAGCTCCAGTCATTAAGAGCTAAGAACTAGCAATAAAAGTTTGTCTTATCATCAGTGTTTTCCTTTTTTTTTTGTTAAATTTAAATTGTTACTTGTATCAACATATTGTCTATTGACTGTTATTTGTATAGGTGTTTGTGAATAAATAATATTCATAAAAAAGGTAGACCTACTCTACAAAGAAAAAGTTTCATAAAACTCTTATATAAATGCTGTTAAGAAATTTTATTGATAGATCTACTCAGTGTGAAAAACTAAGTCTGGTTTGAGCTCATAAACATAATTTTGCTGTTAGATTCTTCTCCCACATGTTTTAAATAGCATTTATGAGAATTATAATTAGATGCTTAAAAGTTTCCTGGACATGATTTTACATTGATGAGAATAATTGTTGAATAAAAACTGTGGGACTGTACTTTTTACTTGTAAAAGATTACTTTTATCTTGTTTACTTTAAAATTAAATCACATTTCTAAATAGTTTATACAATTTTAAAGTTGAATTTTTAAAGTTAAATTATGGTTACAGTATTCAAGACTACATAAATTATATTTATATTTAACACATGTAGAAAATTGTCTCGTTAAATGTAGCCATTTGATTAAAATCATGTGACAGATCAGTGCGCAGATTCTCATATTGAAATGTACAACAAAGTTTCAATTAAATTAATTAATAAATAGGGGCTATTAGAATCCAAGTATAAGATGTTTTATTGTGTATGAAATTTCGTGTACGTAACTGAATCAGTAGTTATCTTGTTCCCACAGAAACTGAGTTAAGTTGCACTTCTGGTTACCGGAAATCGTTCAAAAGTTGATAGACTCCTGAGCATACAAGTTCGTCTACCTAACTTTAATGGTACACATCGGTACCACTTCCATTTAGCGGAAATTGCGCAAAAATTGATGGAAAACTACAAATTTGATATAATTTTTATGCATGAAACTTGGTCTACATAACTGAAACGGTATTCAAGTTATCATGTTTACATACACAAACACTCACACACACAGACGTACAGGATGGCAATAAATAAAGTATAAAAAAAACTATAATGTAGGGACGTGTAAAACTGCGACAAATGTCATAATTTCATTTATGCTATATAAGCAAGTAAAAATAATTTCTCGCATAGTCAAAGGGAATAAAATATGTATTATTATGTATTATTAGATCTAAGTTTGCTAAAGGCTACTTCCCTTGATTAACAATTTGGCTATTTATTTTATAATACTTCTTTTATAAGTATATTACATAGACTATTAATGTATAAATTTTTGAGTAAACTTAATTAAACCTTAATAAAATATTTTATTCAAGAAAATGTTTTAGTGGTTGTTGGCCTCTATGAAAGATCAGTTACAAAAAAAGCAAGACCAATGGTCAAAGGGAAGTAATCATGTAAATGTTTAGTGCTCTTGGTAAGATAAAGATTACCTCCCTTGGATGTTTTTTTTTTTATTATATATATTTAAAACTAAAACAAATAATAATCATTAAAAAAGTTTTAAAAAACCCACGTTTTCTGATTGAACTAAAAAGTAGAAAATAAATGCTATAGGCCCTACATCACAATAATGCAAGCGATCACTCTACTATAAGCGATGAAAAACGTGGGGCGCCGAAGTAAAAGTTATATTACTATTGATTAGATAATACTATTGACTTTTATTAGGGAGCTTGTAGAGAGTCAACAGTATTAGAAACTGTAAGAAAATCACGGCGCCCCACGTTTTTGCTCGCTTATAGTAGAGTGATCGCTTGCATTATTGTGATGTAGGGCCTATAGCATTTATTTTCTACTTTTTAGTTCAATCAGAAAACGTGGGTTTTTTAAAACTTTTTTAATGATTATTATTTTCTACTTTTTAGTCTTTGTCTGTTTGTTTGCATTAAAATCTTGCTATCGATTTTATCTTTTCACTTTTTTTGGGTAAACGAAGACAACTCGTAAAAAGACAACTCGTAAAAAGACAACTCGTAAAAAGACAACTCGTAAAAAGACAACTCGTAAAAAACACGTTGTTTGAATACGTTACTGACTAGAACACATAGATTTGAACCCGTGTCGAGTGGGATAGCAATCGTGTGCCCAACCACTCGACCATATCGTCTCCCCCAAACTGGCCTACCTCCTGTAAGTTTAAACTCGGTTCAAGCTAAATTCTCTGCCCCTAAGCCTGTGGCGACATGTGATCGTTCGCTTCACTGCGCGCGAGGTACGCGTCGCTGGTTTTTTTTCTAATGGCTAGCAGAGGAGAATTATATATATAGATTATATAGCGGTCTAAAATGCTCAATAAAATGTTTCCATTGATCAATTTAGTAATAATAACAATTGAATATTCAATGGTCATCCAAAAGAAAGCTTCCCTGAAAATTTCAGCGCGCTAGCTAACTGGGAAGTGCCAGAAATTTCGATCGCAAGATTTGATTGGAAAGACAAACAAACACACAAACAGAGAAAGCAAGTTAAAGAAAACGTGGGAAAATGATTATAAATAGCAATCTAAGGCAAAAATATTTTAGTTTAAAAAATTCATGATCTCTAATATTTATCCATTTTTTTTAAAATGTAGATGGTCAAAGGGAAGTAACAGTGTTTTTTCCCCATAACGTTTAGTTCGCTAAGGACTACCTCCCTTGCTGAGTATATTGATTTTAAATCACTACTGATATTTATTTTTAAGAATTTAACAAGAAAAACTGACGCTCATAAATATACGACGTTTGTATGCAATTGCTGCGAACTATAATATTAAGCGAGAGACCTTATTTATCATTAAAAGAATGTGAATGGTCAAAGGGAGAGAAAAATGTAAATATTTTTTATTGCGTTGACACACGAGTGCGTGCTAATATAACATGATTTGCTTAGATAAATAGATATTGACAATTTTGCGTTAATAAGTGTATGAATTATTCATTACCGTTAATACAATTCGAAACACTTGAATGTAGCCCTACTGTAACATAATTAAATAACACAGAATGTATATAGCTGTCTCGAAACGAATTATTAAATTGTGTAAAATGTTGTTACGGATTTTTGTAAATGCCAAAATGTGCATACTCTGTGAAAAACATTCAAACAAAGCTAAAGTTTTTATAAGATGAACGAACATAGATGGCGTTATTATAAATCAGCTTCCCAGCCGTAAATTGTACTTTAAATTTGAGAAAGAAAATATGTTAAAAGAAAAAAAATAGGAACAAAATACAGATAATAATAGTTTAATGAAATTAGAATGGATACAGTTTTAATTGATTGAAGAAGTAATTAGAATTATTGTTACTTGATTTGACAATGTGTATACAAAAATTATACAACAAATCTAGCGCCAATGTAGGAGGTACACATTTATTTCTAACACAAAATACAACAGTTAATTAATACTGTTAAAAATGTGTGATCAAAATATGCTTGCAAGTATAACAACATTAGCATGGCGAGACAAGGCTTTACTGTCATTTTAAAAAAAAACTTTAAGCATGTGACAACATGATACGTTAGACTTATTTATCTAAGTTGGTTAATTTACAATTTAAAAAACGATTATCTTGCACTGTTTTTGATTCAAGTTTCGAAGAAATACTAGAATGCTGCAGCGTGTTACGGCTAAAATGTAATAAACAATAACAAGCTAACGGATTGGTTGATTTCTTGTACATAAACTTTAAGGTATCTCATGAGAACGTGTACACTATCATTCAAGCATATCTTGACAAGTTTAGAAGCTTAATTTGGGTCAGGCCCAGGTCCAAAACTTTTATTCAAATCTGAAAAATTAAGGAAAATTAAATCATAGATTAAGAGGCATGAAATATTTAATAAAAATTACATCATAGATCAAGCGGAATGAAATATTTAAGAAAAATTAAATCATAGATCAAGAGGCGACATGAAATATTTAATAAAAATTAAATAATAGATCAATCTGCACGATAAAAGTAAATAATAAACATAAACAACTGATGTACTGCATATACTGTAAGAAAGATCACGCAAAGTCCAGATATTTACCTTTTTCCAAGTTACCTTCAAGTAAGAAATGTCCAACTACCGTCACGTGAGAAATGTCCAACTACCGTCACATGAGAAATGTCCAACTATCGTCACGTGACAAACGTCAAGATGTTGACCATGTCTAACCTACCGTCACGTGACAAACGTCAAGATGTTGACCATGTCTAACCTACCGTCACTCGAGAACGTCAAGATGTTGACCATGTCTAACCTACCGTCACGTGACAAACGTCAAGATATTGACCATGTCTAACCTACCGTCACTCGAGAATGTCAAGATGTTGACTATGTCTAACCTACCGTCACATGAGAAATGTCTAACTATCGTCACATGAGAAATGTCCAACTATAGTCACGTGACAAACGTCAAGATGTTGACCATGTCTAACCTACCGTCATGCGACAAACGTCAAGATGTTGACCATGTCTAACCTACCGTCACGTGACAAACGTCAAGATGTTGACCATGTCTAACCTACCGTCACGTGACAAACGTCAAGATGTTGACCATGTCTAACCTACCGTCACGTGACAAACGTCAAGATGTTGACCATGTCTAACCTACCGTCACGTGAGAACGTCAAGATGTTGACCATGTCTAACCTACCGTCACGTGACAAACGTCAAGATGTTGACCATGTCTAACCTACCGTCATGCGACAAACGTCAAGATGTTGACCATGTCTAACCTACCGTCATGCGACAAACGTCAAGATGTTGACCATGTCTTACCTACCGTCACGTGACAAACGTCAAGATGTTGACCATGTCTAACCTACCGTCATGCGACAAACGTCAAGATGTTGACCATGTCTTACCTACCGTCACAAACGTCAAGATGTTGACCATGTCTAACCTACCGTCATGCGACAAACGTCAAGATGTTGACCATGTCTAACCTACCGTCACGTGACAAACGTCAAGATGTTGACCATGTCTAACCTACCGTCATGCGACAAACGTCAAGATGTTGACCATGTCTTACCTACCGTCACGTGACAAACGTCAAGATGTTGACCATGTCTAACCTACCGTCACGTGACAAACGTCAAGATGTTGACCATGTCTAACCTACCGTCATGCGACAAACGTCAAGATGTTGACCATGTCTAACCTACCGTCACGTGACAAACGTCAAGATGTTGACCATGTCTAACCTACCGTCACGTGACAAACGTCAAGATGTTGACCATGTCTAACCTACCGTCACGTGACAAACGTCAAGATGTTGACCATGTCTAACCTACCGTCACGTGAGAACGTCAAGATGTTGACCATGTCTAACCTACCGTCACGTGACAAACGTCAAGATGTTGACCATGTCTAACCTACCGTCATGCGACAAACGTCAAGATGTTGACCATGTCTAACCTACCGTCACGTGACAAACGTCAAGATGTTGACCATGTCTAACCTACCGCCACGTGACAAACGTCAAGATGTTGACCATGTCTAACCTACCGTCATGCGACAAACGTCAAGATGTTGACCATGTCTAACCTACCTGCACATGCTCTCTCCAACAGCAACCTCTGTAGGGTCCGCTTGGCCCCGATAGTGTTACCCCCGAGGGTCAGGATGTTGGCCCCTGTAGACTGCAACATTTGCGAGGCTGTTGGTCGCATCCCCAGATCAACGATGATGGTATCCACGTTTTCGTTTTGTAGGAAATTCAAAGTGGAGCGCAGTTCTCTGTTAGAGGATTTTTAAAATTTATATTTTTTTCTGTGTTAAAACTAAAAATAATAATAAAATATACCAAAACTAAATTTTTGAAAAGATAACCTGTTTCGTGAAAAATAAAGGCAATTAATTACTACGTTTTTACTTTCTCTTATAGTAACTAGGCATGCTGCCCAGCTTCGCTTAGGCTTTCGAAAACATTGAGAATTTGAATGCTTAATTAATTCGCCCGAAGGTCGGTCTACGACCTCAAGAGTTATGAAGAGGTTCCTCCGTGGACATTTTTTTTCGATTTATAGCTCATATAAGGTACCGGTCAGTCGAGGTCAGTTTTGACCCCCACATCGTAGACTTTTCGGCCAACCGGCCCCCGTGTTCTGTCGCACCAAGGCAAGATCATGCCAAATTTGAAGCGCCTGCGGCGCCGGGAAGTGCCCTATCGGACACCCGACAATCTAGATCTAGATCTAGATTCCTAAAAGAATTTTTTTTTTAAGTTTAGCCCGAGCATAATAAAAAAGAATACATTAACCAAGTTGACTTGCTGTGTCTCGAACCCGCACCACCTGCGTGGTTTAATGTACACTAACATCTCCGCTATTTAGGCACCTTATAAAATACGGAGAATGAAACACGTATTTTAAAATCTTAACTTACGCGAATATGCCTATTCTTTCAAATTAATTTTTTATCCCAAATTAGCCAGTTCCAAACAAAGATTTTGTATAAAATAAATAAGTCTTGAAATAGTTTAGTCCTAATATAGAAACTTATTTTTGGAATTGATTTTAGAGAAGTTAGAGTAGGTACTAGGATAAATTTTTAATATTGTTTTTTTAGGGAAACAACTACTACAGTTAAAAGGAGCAGAAAATTACAATAACAGAACAGTTTTCCTTTTTGATGTAGCTCAAACGGTTAAATAGTTATGATTTTTTTTCGTATTAAAAAATGAGAATTTTTTAACATAGGATTTTTTCCAATTTCTGTGATAGAGTTTTTTAAAGCGTTTACTAAAATTGTCCTAGCTTGTAAACCATATGGTCAAATTTGTTATAACTTTGCAATGTCTTTATTTATTATATATGGAAGCATAATAAACAATAAAATTAGAAATTTATGGGCAGAGTTAAACAAAAACAGAAGTAGAACAGGGTACCCCCCCTAATTTTTCATATACAGTGCATTCATACAATCTCAGTTAAAATTTTAACTATTCCAAAAATTAAGCTCAAACTTGCTGAGAATGTTGAGCTATGGATGTGTGAGTTATTACAATCAAAATAATAATCATAACTGAAAAGTTTTTTGTTTTAACTGCTACAAAGCTGATAGATTATGCAATTTCGCAAAACCGAAGTCTTGTTGATGTGAAATGCAACATGATGGCAAATTTGAGTTATTAAGCACTTAAGTCTCAAAATTTGCCTGGCTCTAGATGACTCTATTCTTAAACAGAAACAATCAAAATTTGTGTTTAAATCTATCTGTTTGACAAAAAATAAGGGGTGGAACAGGTACACCCCCTATTTTTAAATACGAAATTTGTTCATACAATATCAGCTTAGGTCCAAACTATTTGAATCTAAAGCTAAAAACTAACCAGAGTGAATCTCTGAAATAAGTGTGTTTGATGGTTCTATCTAAATAGTTGACAAATAGGTAAAAGATGGTAAAAAGGTAAAACGCTGAGTCATCGACGCGCCTGACATAATTGAAAAACTGAACTAATATATGAAAATAAAAATGATGGCAAATTAGATCTATTAGAAATGTAAGGTCTTTTATTTGTATAAATGTAATTAAGTTGTTAGTCTACTTATATATATAGTTTAATTAAAAAGATGTGTTTCTGTCTGTTCATTAGTATTTTACATTTCAGAAGAAGTTCAACATTGGTTGGTTTTAACATGATATAGAATCTAGAACTAGTTCATATTACTAAACTTTCAATGTACTGCTTCAAAATTTATTTAAGTTATTTTAAAAAATATTACTTAATTTGTCTAAATAAAAGGTGAACACATTTATTGTAATAGTTTTAATTCCTCTTTACATAGTGTTCCGTCATTAGGCCATATAACTGCTCATCATATCGTAGAGATGTGCTGGTTATAGAAGTGTAGGTTCTATCTGGAAAAGTAAACAGTACATTATTTGCTTTCACATCAAAATAAATAAAATGGTTTTTCTAGACACTAAAATTAAATATTGAACATTTATTGCTATTACCGCACCAAACCTCCCCCCCCCCTCTACTCCACTACCTTCAATAATATCAAAACAGCGTCTGCCACTATCGCCGGCGGCAAAACAGCGTTTACCACTATCGCCATCGGCAAAACATCGTTCGCCACTATCACCGGCGGCAAAACATCGTTCGCCACTATCACCGGCGGCAAAACATCGTTCGCCACTATCACCGGCGGCAAAACATCGTTCGCCACTATCGCCGGCGGCAAATCGCCACTATCGCCGGCGGCAAAACATCGTTCGCCACTATCACCGGCGGCAAAACATCGTTCGCCACTATCGCCGGCGGCAAAACATCGTTCGCCACTATCGCCTGCGGCAAATCGCCACTATCGCCGGCGGCAAAACATCGTTCGCCACTATCGCCGGCGGCAAATTGCCACTATCGCCGGCGGAAAAACAGCGTTTACCACTATCGCCGGCGGCAAAACATCGTTCGCCACTATCACCGGCGGCAAAACATCGTTCGCCACTATCACCGGCGGCAAAACATCGTTCGCCACTATCACCGGCGGCAAAACATCGTTCGCCACTATCGCCGGCGGCAAATCGCCACTATCGCCGGCGGCAAAACATCGTTCGCCACTATCACCGGCGGCAAAACATCGTTCGCCACTATCACCGGCGGCAAAACATCGTTCGCCACTATCGCCGGCGGCAAAACATCGTTCGCCACTATCGCCGGCGGCAAATCGCCACTATCGCCGGCGGCAAAACATCGTTCGCCACTATCGCCGGCGGCAAATCGCCACTATCGCCGGCGGCAAAACATCGTTCGCCACTATCGCCGGCGGCAAATCGCCACTATCGCCGGCGGCAAAACATCGTTCGCCACTATCGCCGGCGTCAAAACATCGCTCGCCACATTTTTTTCTATTACCTCCCTTGCCACTTTCGCTTTCATATTGTAAACAAACGAATTTTTTTATAGAGGTAGCAAATCTGTGCAGCATATAACTTTTGTGCGCTATGTCCAAACAACTTGATTTTTTGAAACAATAGAGAAAAGTGGTGTAGAATTCATGTAAAGCAATAAAATTCCTGTTTATTATAAAAATAAACAGTAGGGAGTAAATTAAACTTACCTTATTTTCACTGAAGCACTCCATCTTGAATAATCCATGCACAAAATTAAAAAAACAATGAAAACGCAAAATGTCCATCTTTTTATGAAAAATCGATAATCGCACGAAAATTGATCGGGCGATAACACCGAGCGATAAAAATTACGAAACTATAGCACTCGCGTAGCCGCAAATTCTCGGCGTCTAGGTAACGGGGACGAAAAACTCGCCGCGCGGCGTAAAACGAGATGTAATCCTAGTACCTAAGTTAGAGTCTAAATCTAGATCTTAGCGTCTACGTCTAGATCTAGTTATTGCGTAGATTTAGATTTAGATTTAGTCTAGATCTAGAATCTCTAGATCTAGAATCCAAATACATAAAATAAATTTTATGAGTTTAGGCCGGAAAAATTGTATTGTATACATTTCGGTAAAATCTTAGTTTAGCGTCGTAAATTCGGCCAAAACTAGTAATGTGGGAGAGAGTGAATTAATGAATATGTCATTAAATATGAGTTTATTTTCGTATATTTTGATAAAATATTATAGACAATTGAATAATAGATCACCATTGATGGTTAAATCAATTTAAATATCCTGAAATTAATTTTTATCAACCCTGTTCGAGGTAGTAACTTTGCTATTAAAAACAGCAGCCATCTTAAGAAAATGTTATTGAGAGTAGCTTCCCTTTCATTTCTATTCGTATGAAAATGTATTTAAATATGATCGTTTTGTTGTATAGTCCGTATTACAAAGCATTTTTTTTTAAAAATGTGAATTTCCTAACAAACAACTTTATTAATTCTATTAGCATTGTAAGATGCAACTTGTATCCATGTATTAAATCACGTTTTTTTTTACTAATGTTTATTTGATCTTACTATTACTATATAGTTTGAGTTTTTTCTTATTGTTTGAATGTTCACTATTTTCATTTCAGGTTTTTCTTTTCATCAATTAGTAATTCTATCATAACTTATGACATTTTTTTTACTTCTCTTTACCTTAATTAAACCCCAACCTCCGTCATATTTTTGTCGTCAATGTCACAACAAGTCATAATGTAAAAAATTACGCTTCACTCTGCCTTATCTAAGATCTCTAACCATAATTTTGACAGCATTAAATGTTTGTCATCATTTATAAATACAGAGAGACAAAATGTATTATTATCCACCAGCTTCCCTCGTAAAACATCATCTAAAACAATGAGCCGCTCCACCCCTTAAAGTGCGTGTTGTCATTATGGTCGATTGCAAGTCTCCACCTGCCAGACACATTTTGGTTATCCTTTGTTGTCAAATTGTCAATATCAAGTACCCAAGTGAGTGATATGGGGTTGTCCATAAATGATGTCAGTGGCGTAGCCAGGATCGTCTCAAGGGGGGGGGGGGGGGTTCCAATTTTTACCCGGGGACAAACTTTCGATTTGCCCCCCCCCCCTCAAACTTTCGATTTGCACCCCCCCTCATACTTTTTATATATACCGAGGGGTCTAACCCCCTGCCTACGCCACTGAATGATGTCACATATGATTTGCTACGGGAGTGAGTGAAGATTTGTGACGTCAACTCAGGCGGCTTTGCAATTTATGACGTGTCGGTCTCATGAAAGGAGGTGAACGGGGAAAAATACCTAGGTGGTTGATGGAGAACCTCTATAATGCTTTGTTCAATCAAAATAAC